GCATTCCTGGCCCTGGGAGCATTGAGTGCCAAATGTTGTTAGACACTAAGTGTATACACTCTGTGCCATCTGGGACATGGGCTCTAGGAAAGGGGACACTCTAAGCTGGTGTAAGCTGCTACCATGGTGTCACTGAGGTCCTGGGGCAGGTAAAGTTTATGCTGGCTGATGATCTGCCTGGGTTCATTATGGTGGAGGGATGTCTAGGATTTCATTTTCTACGGTACTTTCACCATACCCGTCTCCTTTTCCCCTTAACAGTCAGTCAAAACAAAGCCCATTTTAAAAGAAATGAATGTAGAAAATGTGAAACATAAGGATCTTTTACAAAGTGTCTTTTACAGTGCTGGGGACATAAAACAGGGCAGTGGAAGATAAGCCATTATGTATGTTGAGGAAGTCTAAGAATAAAGATTATAGGCAAACAGTCTACCTTTCTTTACAAGGCCTTGATTTACATCCCTGAAATCTCAAATTTAGCTATTACAATGAAGTCCTGTTGCACACAGAGCTGACTTTTTATCACCACTTAAAATCTAATTAATCCGTATTGAAGCACAAAGATTTCTGTTGTGTTTTAGGGTGAGGGGTCATAGAGCCCTCTTTGTTCATCCTCAGGCTTGTAATCATCGGGCATTGGGATATAATTTTACCAAGCAAATTGGAAGGTAACAGATCAAATCCTTATCAGAAAGCCTAACTCATGGTTTAGTGAAGTCCTTCGTCCTTTAAGTGAAACTTTATATGCATGAAGAACAAAAAAGTGTTTCAGAGCTTACAAAGGGTTAATAGCAAGGGCTTATATTGGGGCAGCAGAGAACTAAAATCATCATAGCTTCCACCATCACTCAAGGTAGCAGTTGTTACAGAGCTGCTGGGGAGACCTTCCTCCTCCAGCTTTTAGGACTCTGCTCTTATAATGGCCTTGGTCTACCGACCAATGATGCAATTAAGTGGCATACTATTCTCTCTGTTGGGATGGGTCCTCTCCTGTCTCACTACCTATTTACCCCAGTGGAAAAATCTTAACTTGGAACTGAATGAACTGGAGATCTGGACCATGGGACTATGGCAAGCTTGTGTTGTCCAGGAAGAAGGGGGAATGCAGTGCAAGGACTTCGATTCTTTCCTAGCTTTGCCTCCAGAGCTGAGGATTTCTAGGATTTTGATGGTTTTTTCCAATGGATCGGGGCTTTTGGGCCTCTTGCTCTCAGGATTTGGGTTGGACTGTTTGAAAACTGGTGAAAGACAAGAGGAACAAAAGAAACGGCTGTTGCTGTTTGGAGGAATGCTCTTCTGGATATCGGGGATTACAGCTGTTGTCCCAGTTTCTTGGGTTGCCCATTCCACAGTCCAGGAATTTTGGGATGAGAATATACCAGATATTGTTCCCAGGTGGGATTTTGGGGAAGCACTATTTGTTGGCTGGCTTGCTGGATTTTGTCTTGTATTAGGAGGATCCCTACTTAATTGCATAATCTGTTCAACAGAAGTCCATCCATCTTCGGTCCATTATGCAGTAGCAGAACAGCAAGATCAGTGTCAACACTTGGAAACTGAAACTAGGCCTTAAAATGGAAGGTTTTAAGTAGTACAGAAAGACTGCCCTATCTCTTTCAAACTAGTGCAAGCCAGAAGCTTGTTCCAGTAGTAAGTCAAAGGACTCTTTGTTACCTAGCTGACTTCCTAAACTTATGTCTGTTTTCTCCATAACTGGTATTGGAAGGTGGTGTGTTTTCTCACCTGCAGAACTGTTTAAACCTTTGTTTCACAGCAGAATGCTGAAGTTTGCATAGACTGCGCAAAAACGGTGCTTTTGCTTTCCCAACTGCACTGTAAAATCCTGGAAATGAATATGCATGTTCCCTTACAGCTTGGCTTTTAACCAAAATATGCCTCCTTTTCATATGTAACCAATTAAATGAGCCTCAAAGCTTGACTCCCTGTTGCAATTTTGCACTTGCTTAATGATGTGACGTACAAACTTGAGAGTTTTTGCGTGCTAAACAGTCTAAATACATGCATTGCATCAAATTGTTTTTCTGCGTACTTACTTGAAAATTGATGTGCTAAGAAAACTGTAGGCTTCTCAAATGCTGGCAAGCTTTGCAGATATCTTTTTGTGCATGGGGTATTCCAGGGTGGGTCCTTCATACCCAGGAAGGTGTGTTTTCCCAGTTTAGCACTTTAAGCTGCCCATACAATCTATTCAAAGTGTTTCTGGCACCTGCATAGTTTATGGAAAAAATTAGTCTAAGAAATACTGCTTTAAAAATACTTACACTGTCTTCTTCCAATACAGGTATTGAGGCGTTAAGCATCCTTATAGAACTAGCGGAACTGCTGTACTGCTTTAGCAGATTGGTGGAAAGCAAAGTATAGGCTTTTCTTAAAAAAACAAAACTAAAACTAATTAATGAAAGGTGAGCCCAGCTGTGGCCACACCCTTCAGCTACTGGTTTACCACACTACCTCCTAATCCCACAAACACTGCATATGGAGCCAGGCTCCACAAAGCAGGAGAGGGAGGAGTATTTCATGCTTTATAAAGCATTGTTTTAACTTTTGCTTATGTTCAGTATGACAAAGAATTGAGCAGAATAGTCTCGGCAAAAGTGAGCAGTTTAGCGCTTCTGTGACCGCTAAAAATGAATGTGGTCCACAGACACAGACTACAGTTAGTTGGATTTTTGTTGTCTGTACTAGGATGGATTTTAACTGGTACCTGTAACTATTTACCAGACTGGAAAAATCTCAACTTAGACTTAAATGTACTGGAGCTTTGGACCATGGGACTCTGGCAAACCTGTATAGTCCAAGACGTAGGAGGAACACAGTGTAAAGATTTTGACTCTTTCTTAGCTTTGCCTCTAGAATTCAAGATTTCCAGGATTTTAGTATCTACATCAAATGGACTAGGACTTCTGAGCCTTGTGATCTGTAGTCTTGGTTTGGACTGTCTAAAGATGGAGGATACAGAGCAGAAGCTAAAGAAACAGCTGTTACTACTTGGAGGTATACTCCTATGGATGTCTGGAGTTCTGGCCTTAGTCCCTGTTTCTTGGGTTGCCCATACAATAATCGAGGAATTTTGGGATGAAGACATCCCAGAGATTGTGCCCAGATGGGAAATAGGGGATGCACTGTTCAGTGGTTGGTTTGGTGGATTTTTTATAATTCTCGGAGGATCTCTACTCCTCTCCACAATCTGCTTATCATCTGACCATCAATTACCAGAGCAGTATGCAATGGCAGATATGCAAGACACCCATCAACATCTGGAAATTGGAAATAGAAGACTTTAAAAAGGGTCGATACCAGGTTTTCAGATTTCTTGCTCTTGCATTACAGTAAAAAAGGTCTGCTGCACAGACAGGTTACTGTTTACAAGATTGGAGGGAGGGATTGTTTCTTACAGAGTAGTTCTTTTAATCACTACTTACCGTCATTTTTAGTTACATTAATTGATGAGCTATGGAGATCTAAGTCACCACTGTATTTCTCCAAAATCTGATCAACTGCAGATTTTGTTTTTGTAGGTTTGGTGGTGTGAGTGTTGGTTTTTTTAGGATGAGTGAGTATAAAATTTTTAATTTCTAGGCATGCATGGAGACTTGACCATATTTTCAATGGCAGAACTCCTACTGGGGCTGCTTTAAATGTCTTTACAAAAATAATATTAGTTTAAGTAAGTCCTGAAGCAGGTTGTACTGCCAGTTTAATGTGCATTACAAAAACCTAGTATGGTACAACCTTGAATGAAGTTCCCTGGACCTGCATCATTTACACCAGGGTAATATAAATGTTCTCGGGCATCATGTCATGTTATACAAGGGAGAGAGGGGGAACGAGAGATGGAATGTATCCCTGCACAATCTCTAAGGAGAGCCAGTACTTCTGAATAATGATGAGATGTTGTCCAGTGGAGAGCTGGCTGTGTTCATTGCTATTGCAGCTTTTCCTTAATGAATGTAAAGAACTAACTTGAAGTACATGGAGTCAGTTTCTATAACTTAACTTACCCCAAGATATGTCAGTGATTCATGTGAACTTTCTATAAATTGCAATGATTTTACATTGACAAAGCTGTAGCAGCCATCTGTTTCTGCAAAGGGCATATAAAGACACACAGAACAGCAATAAAAGAATGAAATAAAACACAGGTCTGGAAAAGAGCTTTGTTAAAAAAATGTATTTTCCAATCACTGAAACACATGGAAAGTGCAGAGACAAGTTAATCTATGTGATGTACTTGCATACTCTTACAGACAAAATTAGAACAGAAACACATTCAGAATATAACCTGATTAAATATTTAGTTCAGTCCTGAGCATTTGATATTTAATACAGTATAAACATAGCAATAGTAAAAAAAAAACATGCTTAAAATTATTTGATTTGTGTTCTATTACAATTTCTGCTGAACTTTGCTCATTTAGCTAAATATTCTTGTACCAGTAATATTTAGATCTTGATATATGTAACTGCAGTGACATTGGTACCTGAAAATAGAACTAATTACATTCGTTATACCCTGCTGTGCAGAGTGAATTCCACTTCAAAAGCAGTATTTATAATTTTAAACTGATGGGGGTTTATTTGTATGTCTTATTTTAGCTTATTCTATTGAGTGTTTCAAGTGTGAATAATCTGAATAAGTAAAAAACACCCCAAAACTCCAAACCCAGAATTGTTAAAAACTGCGTATAAATATGTTCAACTTTACCAATTTGGAAAACAAGGAGCATGAATATGTTTGACTCTCATTTTTAAATGAGTTCTGCAAGGTAAAGCCAGCAATACTTAAATTTTGGCCTCACCTCATGCTTACAAATCAGATGACAATACTTTTTTTTTTAAAATTACTCAACCTGTGAGGAGAAACAGCTCATCTGGCAATAATTTAGACAGCTCTAAATATTTTTCACAATAGCATCCATAATGTCAAATATTTTTATGGCCAGAACTGAACTATATTAAACAGAACATAAATAAGACTGTAAATAAATAAAAGAAAAATCATAAAGTACACCTCTAAACATCAATCTACAAACAACTTATATAATCAAATTGAGAAGTTGAAACTGTCAACCTTCATTTCACCTCTACATTAAATAATTCCGGATTTGTTTGTTTTTAAATTGACCTTTCAAACATGAGTGTTATTTGAAACCCAAGAAACAAAAACCAAATGGGCATTCCTAAAGGATGTTCAGTCATGTTGCCCAAACTAGCATGTTTGGCTATACGTTTAAGTGAACTGATGTATTTGTGCGTAAGAAAACCCTTGGGTGTTACACAGCCCTCTCAGCACAGAATTGTCACTTTGAATTTGAGACAGCTGCTACCATATTGTGGTTATATTTGCTTCCATTTTCTCACCAAGTAATTATAGCCTTTTTGAAAGATGAAGTCCATGCATATGCAGCTTGTTGTTTGGGGAAGAAAATGTTAGAGAGTAAATTAAATATGTGTGAGTGCAACATACTAATTAGAAAATGAAATAATTCTGTTTGTTAGCTGCAATGTCCACCAACTTACACAGTACGTACAGAAGACAAGACCCCAGCTACTTTACCAAGACAGGGCTACTTAGACACCTACGCCTGATGTTCTGGACTTCTAACAGAATGCATCCAAGTTGATGCTTCTTCGTGTAAGACAAATTTGAAACGTGCTGCTCACATTGATTTATTAAACCTGTGCACCCTCAACTGCATACAGGGTCAATTGTGTATTTTTAAAAATGTTATTTATTGTACTGAAATATGTGAAGACTTCTAGTCAGGAACTTTTCTTTTTCAGAAAGGGTTTACCTTACCACCAAGACTTCTGATACCCAAGTTAGTATGTGATAGACTTTTCTCCTCATACAAATACTTTAATGAAAACGTCTTCTAAATGTTTTGCCTCTAGGACGAAAGATCAACATAGAGAAACTCTCATTTTTTAAGTGTACAGTGGATATAAGTATGCTGATTTCAATGTTGATATTACAAATTTGATTCAGCTTCCAGTTCAGAAAGCAGCTGCCCCTTTTGGTAGTCTCATAATAAGTTTTTAGGGTTACTTGTCTGCCTTGCCTTTCCCACTCTCACGCAGATGCAAGAAACCTTTTAGTGCAGGTTAAAGTACTGTACATTCATAAAACTAAACTCTGAACTCTCTCTTCCTACAAAGTATTAAAAACCAAAACCAGAAGACATTTGTTTTCAGAAAAAGATTTCCAATGTGGGTGATGAATCTAATTAGCAGCTGTTGTGAGGCAGCCTTGATGTTTTGGAAAGGAGCTTACACCTGTGGTTAACTTTAAACTATAAAAGTCACACTCTCTCGTACAAAAATATTGCATGGCAAAACAGCCATCTTCACAGTCTGCTCACATGAAAATAGTGAAAAGATAAACAATCTTCTGTTGAACGTAATATTTCTCAACACAGTGCGGTTCAACAGGATACATGCTTAGTACTGCCTTTGTTCCATCTTTACAAAATAAAAACACATGCAATACATACAAACTGTACAAAATCAGCATCAGTATACCAAAATTAATCTACTTTGGTTTTCCGGTTGTTGGGTTTTTTTGCCATTTTTTAAGCATACAACAATTCAATTCACTATATTTTACAAATAAACATAACAATAGTGAATGTAAAATAGAAGATCTTTAAAAGCAGGTCACTGGAATTACAAAGTTCATCTGAAGAGAAATGAGCAAGTGGAAAAACACTTCAATGAAAATGCATAATTATACATCATCAGCTGGAAGGGCTGGTATGCTGATCTTTGCTCTTGTGAAGTATGCTATCTTCTCCCTGAAATTAGAAAAGAAAACAAGTTACTATTTTTGTACTATTCATGGCACGACTCCTCTCTCATCTGCTGTAGAGCTGCTACTGTTACAGCGCGGTTCTTTAAAATAAGGTTTGGAAAATATACAGTGAGGAAATTACACAGTGAACTTATTTACTACAAATGTTGCCAGAGCTTTCAGACATAATTCCCTTCTTAGGCAGATTTATGTAAAAAGCAGCTCCAATTTTGAAAAAGAGAAAAATAATCAATATTGCATAATAACTGCAACAATAAGACTGAGACATTGATCTAGTCACTGAACTTCCTATGATGATATTTCAGTGGGGGGACAAAAATGCAAAACAAAACATTTTATCCTGACTTGGGGAAAAGGCAGGGCGGGGAGGAGGGCAGAAATACTAAATGGGTCTGGGCAAGACTCAGAGAAGCAAAATTGTCAACCCATTCTCTAGTTGCTTCCCTTGTGCTGTTCCCATTTCTGTCCCCTATGAACTGAGAGATTACTGAAGCATAACAAGTTTACACAAGCTTGTCTGCCAGCAGCCTAGAAAGCAGATGATAAGTACTGGGGGCTTAAAAATTAAAGCTCAGAAGAGTCATTCTGAGAGCTTCAAAAGTGCCTCTCTGTGATTAGTCCTTGAGGCCACAGCACTGTAACAAGTCCAACTAGCAGGGCAATTCAGCCTGAGGAAGGAACTATTTGCCCAGTAGACTAAACCATGCTTTCCACTGGCAAAACTTGAGTTCCTATGAAAAACAGTTGCTCAGAGCAAAATCAACTGTGTAAACTGGATTTCTCAGCTAATTGTGTGGTGATTAGAAGATAAAGGATAATGGAGTCCTACGATACCCTTCTTGCAGGGGAATGATCGTGCACTATTACATGTTCCTATAAATTTTCCATCACAGCAGTCTGTGATGACTGTTAAATGACCAGCACCGACCAAAACTTTCTCAAGACTTGCACAGAAAGTAAAAACTGGTTGAAGATGCTCTGAATTTCCTACAGCTGATAAGTAGCTCTGCTGTAATGCTTCTTTGCTGCAGAAACCCTTTCCTTTCTCTCTTGCTTTGATTCTGCATCACTTACAGTTCTGGTTTGCAATGTGTGCTTCACAGGCCCCTATTTGCTTATGGACTTGTCAAACCGCTCACAATAGATTGTGTTAAAAAAGGGAAAAAAGTCCTCACAGTTATTAGTGGCTGACTTGAATTTCTTATACAGGAATCCAGAATCAAGCTGTAAAAATGTGTGAAGTGTTTAAAAACAGATTAAATTAGCTTGCAGTATTGTTTCTATGTGGAAGAGTGACCATGGTATTTTTCAATCAATGGGTTTATTTTTACCTGGAAGTGTGGCCTTCAGGCTGCTAGCCTGCCACTTACTGTCCAGGTTTTTAGGAATTTAGACCAGTTAGAATTAAGGTTTGAGATATAAAGTGTTCATTCTGGCTTACGCTAAGCAAGAACACTTTTAATTGCTTCATGTAATCTGTTGCTTCTCCCACAACCAAGAGGAGGAGGGAAACAAAAAGGAGGAGGGATTCAAGCTCTCTCTTGAACAACAAGTCTCAAGCAAGGCACAAGTAGTGGTTAATCAGTTTCCTGATGAGATTTATACTGTTCTACTTCTTGAGGGGCCATTTGCTTCACGCACCTGCCATCACTGGAAAAGCTGGAAAGGTCCCATTGCTGAAAGTCCTCTGTCAATCTGCTGTGGGTGAGGTGAGCCACAGCAATGACCACACACATGCTTGCTCACAGCAGATACCACATAGTGCTCTGAAACTTTCCACTCTGCCTCCTCCTCACCACCACCACAGCTCAGCGGATGTATGGCCACTTCTGCCATGTGAGCAAGTTACCGAGTCCTGGTCTTTTGAAACTACAGCTTTTGAGCTATGTTAGAAATGTATGATGTTCCTTGCAATGAAAAAGCATGTGAATTTTTTACTAATATTGCAGGTCATGTCTGATTATATTTAGAAATAATTCATGTTACTTCACTACATTAAAAAGAGCATGAAAAGCAGAACAGGCCATACCTGAATGATTGCACCTGCAGTGGCACTTTCTGGCTCTGCTCCCGTAACCGGCATACATCCTTAGAAGCTTTCCTCATCAATTTCTCAGCACTTAAACCTTGTTTCTCTTCTTCTTTTGACCATTCAGCCTGTAAACAAGAAAAAAAAACCTGTAGCTTGCTAATAATGAACAACTACTCATTTCAAAGAAATGACAAATTCTTCTGTGTCAAGCAAAATCTCTATACAAAGGGTCAGCAAGACAAAAGACTGACATTACAAGCCTAAGCCATGGGCACAAAATAAGATAACAAAGCTTTTCCAAAAAAATAAATAGAGCAAACACCATGCCATCACAGGTGGTTACTAGGTGTTATGAAATCCGATGAGATATTTCTTAGGGCTATATTTAGACAATACCTAAATTTGTATGAACAAATGTTGTCTATCCAAGTATCTTTTTAGGACTGGGAGATAGTGTATCTCTTCCCATGTGAAATACTTTTATTTCCTAATGAAAGCTCTCAGGAAAGTTGTCTATACGTAATCTAAAATGACAGACAAAAAAATAGAGAAGGTGTGCTCTCAAAATACACTTTCAAGTTTTGTTGACTTTGTTCGCAAAGTTAATATTCATGAATTCTTGTGCTTTTGTTCATGACACATCACCTGTTTTGCATGTGAGACTCACTTCTTTCATTTGCATTGTAGTGGTGACAAAGCCAAGGCAAGTGAACCGAACACCAGTCTGGTACAAGAGACCAGGACCTTTCTTGACACCACTGAGCAGCTACCTATCCACCAGTAAGTCACGGTATTTCTGTACCTCAGTATTGCTAGCTCTCTTACATATGTCTTTACCAAGCACTGCTACATCAACAGGACAATTGCAGCTGTGCCAGCCACCATTTCAGGGAGAGACTGCTCTTAAGAGTTGTGTTTTACTTCTAAAAAACCCCAAACCTTATCAAGGGTTTCTGAACGCCCAATAATGTGAACAGCAGCCCTTTTTAGGTGGGCAGTCACCTGGATTTCTTAGGCCGATGGCCACCGTTCATATGCAGATGAGTCCCATAACGCATGCTTTATCACCCCCATCGTGTGCAGGGTGCACAGCATGGGCAATGCCACCTGGAGCGTGCGCTGAACTTCATTTCTAGACGGCAGGGACTGTCAGACAAACGTTATTTACTGCATTTTGAATTTCACCAGACATCAAAATTTAACAGAAGCAGTTCATGCTCTTAAACAATTTTTAAAGTTCTTTGGAGGTTAATTTTGATGCTTAACTTTAGGCACTCAGACTTGAAAATGCTGTTCCGTTACCTCAAATTAAAACACACACCCAAGCCAGAAACAATCTTCAAATTTGGTTCGTAACTTAGGAGTTTACATCTCCAGTTCTGAATTCAACCCAGTAGACTCCCAAATAACAAAAGCAACCAACTCAAAAAAGTTAGTCCATACTATCAGTTTCATACTGGGTATTTATAGAAATCTGTTCATCTGTTCACAGCAGGAGAGTGGTACCCTCTGTCTGTTGAAACGCACTCCAGTGTTTTACATGAAAGAACACCACCCTTTCAAAAACTCACTCAAAATCCAGTCAGCATGTATTGCTGTTAACTTCTTCAGTCCCCAACTCCAAAATAGGTATGACTTTTAAAATGAAATTAACCTATATTGTTTTCATTATTAGTGAACATAAATTTGCAATCTACAACTGTTAGTGTATTAATTTTACATATGTCACTGGCCATATGTTTTATCAGCTTTTCTAGTTAGTATTTATCAGGGCACTAAACATACAGTATTTCAAAATTTTCCAATTTGATCTTTTCCCTGACTATACACGAGATTCTTGTGACTGCTGCATTTCAGGTTAACAGCATAGATTACTTCTTTGTTTTAATACTCTCTATTACATGTACTCCTTTTTCATTGTTTTAATCCTTTTATTTTTTCAGGATGCTCTCAGAGAAACTTTGGTTTTAGCCCAATTACTCTAAGAGTATGCATGTCATAAGGTGACCAGATTTATATTTACATCGAGTTTGAGTGATTTATAAAGATAGTGAATTCTCCCATTTATATAAAATACACTGGCCATACATGCAGTAAGTGCCAAAAATCTGGCACTTATTTGGCAAATTAAGTGCCAGATAGGAAGCTCTGTATCTGCACTTAGTTTAAGCATGAGATAAAGGAGAAACAAAATTAAAACTGAAACACTAACTCCTTTACTGGTTTTTGTATAGAAGAAAGAAAGTGAATCTAAAGAAAAACTGTTAACTGGGCTAAACACCAAAACACTGAACAAGGACATATTTGTGGTATTAGTGACATAGCTACAGATTACCTCTACACAGAAGATGTACTGAAAAGAAATAAAGAAAACCTCTACAGATATTCACAGGAGACTTTTTTGGACAAAGAGGGAGTACTTTAGAGGACACTAGGTGTCTGAAAACTTACTCGTATGAGGATTTAAGACTCAAACTTTGAAATACTGCTGATTTCTCACAAAAATGCAATCTAAACAAGAAACTGCTTCTGGTGCACAGAATCACCTACTGTTTTCTGATCTGCAGGTATTAGTGGGCTTTACGTACTTGCTGTACTTAGAAAGGTGTGGTAGGAAGGGGAGGGAAGGTATGGAGTCTGTATATTTGGCTTTAAGCACAGTAACCATGCTAGCAAGCAGCCACTGATTTTTAACATCCCCCACATCTGCGGTTTCCATTTTTCACTTGAGACTCTCAATTTCTCTGGCACTTCCAGCTGCTGCATTAGTCTGTGCCATTATAATGCCTGCAGGATCTAAAAAATAATCTATGACAATGTTCTCTAGGCTGCTGTGTTTTGCTAACCCAAGAGGAAACACTGACAGCAGAGTACGGCATTCTCAGGGTTGTTTTGCTCCACAGGGGAAGGCTGCAATGATTTTAAGGGTAAAAATATTTCTAGGAACTTTGTAAGTGCTCTTCAAAGAGGTGGAGTGGCTGTGATCATTGTTCTGACTTTTAGCTTGGAAAGAAGGCCTTAAATGCCATGTTGCAGTCTGCATGTATTTTAAGAATATATTATTACCCCTATTCCTCATTGTAGTGCGTGTCATCGTGTTGATCACTGACACTCAAGATACAAAATATGACAAACCTATCTTCTGCCTTGAAAGAGCCAGCTAAAATCAGAAAGCACAAATTCAGAGTATTAAATGTTACAGAGGCATACTCTATTCTAGTGGGAATAGCTTTAGAGTGGGAGTAATTTTGAATTAAATAAACAATTAAAAATGAACATTTCTATCCTGCATCTAGGATTAGATATAAACTATGAACTTCTAAATAAAATTAGCTATGCTTCTTTTATATAAGCGACTATATTATGGGTTAAAACTTGGAAAGATCAAATTCATACAATGAATTCACATGGTAAAAGAACCACAGTTACACTATGTGATATTTAAATGTTATCCCATTTTGCCCAAGGGTTTTTCCAAACACTTGTGAGTGCTCAGCCTAAACTCTCCTAGTACTTTATAGCCATTTTGGAACTCCACTTAGCTGCAACCAACAGCACATGCCAAGGAAGGAGAGATAGGAAGACAGAACAGGGCATAAACATAATGCTGGGAGAACATACTAGGCTAAAGTTTTGTTTCCTAAGCTATCAGATGGTCAAGGGCTTCCTGAAATAGGTGATGATATTATTACACGGATTTTTCTTCCATGAATGTATCTAACCGCTTTTTGAACCTATGCAAACTTGAAGCACTCACAATGTTCTGTGGAAAACATTTTTACAGTTTCTAAATGTTGTGCTATGTTTGGTTGCATTTAAACTGCCACGTCAATTCCCTACTTCCTGTGTTATAAAAGACAATGATTAATTGCTCTCCTCCACCTCACTGATGACTTTTACAGACTTCAGTTGGAGCTACTTGGCCACTCCTAACATGGAAGTGGTTTCCTCCTTTGACCATCCTTGTCAACCAGCCCTCTGTAGTTTTATTATCCACTTTGAGAAGGGGAACCAGAACTGAACAATGTTTGAGTTATGGGCATGTAACATGTATTTATATCGTAAAACAACAATTTGTTTTGGTCCAACTTCTTTTCTTAGTTAATTCCTCTTACTTGCTTCTTGACATCTGCTGAGTGCTGTGATGTTTTTGCTGATGTTTTTGTTTCTTATATCCAGAGTATCTCATTCCCAATATTCAGAGCTCAGCTTTGCATGTATAAATATGAGGATCATCCCCTCCCTCCTCCATACAAGGCTATTTACTGACATTTACCTTTTTTTAAAAACAAAACAAACCCCCCAATCAACTGTTGCTTACATATTAGGAGGTCCTTTGGCACCTTGTTAAAATTGCTTTCCGTTTTTACAACTCTGAATAACTTGGCATCACCAAAACACTCATCTCTATCAACCATAAATAGCTGAAGAGTACAGATCCCTCCTGGCTGTCACTAACAACCTCCCCGCGTTGAAAACTGATGTATATTGACTGACACAGATGGGAAAGGGGCTCCAGAGGGCAACCTCCTGCTGAGAGCAGCAGGTGAAGCCAGAGCTAAGTACTCAGGGTCTTGTCCAGTTAGGTTCCCAGTATCTCCAACCACAGAGGTTGGGCCCCTATTCCAGTGTGTGATCATCCTCACAATTCAAAAAAACCCCAACCTCCCCAAAACAAAAACCTCAAAACATCTGACTTATTGCATGCATCGCGTTGAAATTTTCCATGTTCCAGCTTGTCACTGTTGCCTCTCACTCCTCCTATCCTGTCTTTTGTCTTTTATCCAGATGAAGGCATCCCATCTTTCCTTATGGCAGTTTGAAGACAGTGAATATATACTTGTATTGTTTTAGAGACCATCACATAGAGAACGATTATGTCCTGCATAAGGAAAGAAGCCACAGTGCCTTTCCCACATGCCCCTACCACTGTAAGTGATGGTCACCGCCTCTCTCTACCTGTTACGAAGATCTTTTGGCTACAAGTTCTTTGCAGATTGCAAATCAACTGAAGATGAAGGACAAAAAGCATATGTATGTCTGTAGAAGTACAGCTACTCACAGGACATGAGAATTTTAAATTAACTTTTAAGTTTAATTAACTTTACTACACCAACCACAACTATTACTTTACTAATAGAGTTTCAACTCTGAATTACCGAAGTATTTAGAGGGCGTTAGAAAAAACCTACCTCAAATTCTAGGTTTAAATGCTGTAGTATTGACTAATATAGAAATATTGTTTACACTATGTAATTCAGACGTGTGATTAGTCAAATGTGAGCTTCTGTAAAAATCTTTACCAGGGTAGACCAAATTCTTAACAGATTTATAGAAAAGGTAGGGGCATAAGTGTATTTATTCACGCAGTATCTGTATGCTGCTCATACCTGTTTTTCAGCTTGTTTCAAGAGTTTCTGGAACCGTTCATCCTCCAGCACACACAGGGGAAGGTCTGTCTCTCCTCTGCCTTTCATTTCCTCAAGCTTTTGTTTAAGATCCCGCAAGGCCTGAAGCTCATCATTCAGACGATTCTGTCTCGTGCGTGATGCCTGGAGGTCCAGCTCCAAGTCAAGGGAAGTGCGTATAGGGCACTCTTGCGTAGCTCTTCGCATGATTGGTTGGCAAACAGGCTGAACCATTTGGGAGACAGAACAATAAAAATTAGTATCTAGAGAGGCTAGTGTAAGGGTTTGACATAATACAGTCAGGAAAGCTCAAATATTTTTTGTTTTTCTTTCGCAGAAAGCTGCTATAATGAGATCCAAGTCCAAAAATTCATGTATTCTGGAATTTTTCTTCAGTCACTAGCTAAAAATAAATGCAAAAGTTTCCCCAACCAGATGTACAATGATATATTTACAGGTTAAAAAGGCAAAACCTGTTCTGATCCCCAGGACAACACAACAGGAGACCAACATTATACAGACTTCCCCATAGATTTCAACTACCTTATTTATTTTCATAAACATTTGCTTTTTGAAGGCCTATGCAAACACATAATGTTATGAACTCTGCAAACATGCATTTTTTTAGTGTATTTCACATTATTTACTGTCCTTTCAGAGTCACTTTTTGCATAAATTGGGCGGGAGAAGCCATCCCAGACTATTCAGTATTTCTTTCTTATGCCAAATGTAATCCTGCTACCTGGTAACAACCTTTCTGCAGAAGTGTTCTTCTAGTTGTACTCAAGATTAAGATGTAACTCTCTCAACTTATGATAAATGAACTCCATGCATGAAAAATACAATCTTACGCTCTTGTCCTTCAGTCCTTTTGCTGCTCAGATGCTCTTGGAGAAGAGTAAATCCCCTTTCAAAGGGCATCTGAATCCTTGAAATTTCCACCAAAATGGGCTGAAGGTAGATGTTGTGGTGTTGACTTTTGTGCACAGTAATCCACCTTGGGTGACTTTAATCACAGAATCATTAAGGTTGGAAAAGACCTTTAAGATCATCAAGTCCAACCATCAACCCAGCACCACCACGCCCACTAAACCATGTCCTGAAGTGCCACGTCTACACGTTTTTTGAACACCTCCAGTGATGGTGACTCCACCACCTCCCTGGGCAGCCTGTTCCAATGCTTGACCACTCTCTCCGTAAAGAAGTTTTTCCTAATATCCAACCTAAACCTCCCCTGGCGCGACTTGAGGCCATTTCCTCTCGTTCTATTGCTAGTTACTTGGGAGAAGAGACCAACACCCACCTCACCACAACCCCCTTTCAGGTAGTTGTAGAGAGCGATAAGGTCTCCTCTCAGCCTCCTCTTCTCCAGACTGAACAACCCCAGTTCCCTCAGCCACCCCTCATAAGATTTGTGCTCCAGACCCCTCCCCAGCTTCGTTGCCCTTCTCTGGACACGCTCCAGCACCTCAGCATCCTTCTTGTAGTGAGGGGCCCAAAACTGAACACAGGATTCAAGCTGCGGCCTCACCAGTGCCGAGTACAGGGGCACAATCACTTCCCTACTCCAGCTGGCCACACTATGTCTGATACAGGCCAGGATGCTGTTGGCCTTCTTGGCCACCTGGGCACACTGCCGGCTCATATTCAGCTTGTAATATTCAGGTTCTTTAACCCAGATCCTTCTGACAGTAACAAGCTAAAGTTCAACAGTAAACGCCACAACACTGAGCACCAGTGTCCCGGTGCTGCCTTCAGCCACAACTAGAACAACATAAGCTTTGCCGCTGGGGGAAGATGTAGGACTGAGACCACTGTGTTGAGATTTCAACCTGAAACTACAGGACTACATGTGGTACTTGCACTGCTTTTGCTGAAATACTTGAAATAAAGCATATGGTTTAAGTTGTTTGTTATTCCTTCTCTCCCCATCATTTGTTTTAAACCATGTCCAGGTAACATAGCACATACCCGTTTAACTCTTAGGCTCCGCCGTTCTGTGGCATTTCTCACAAAGAGAGACTTTTTGGCTAGTGTTGAGCTATCGCTGTCACTTCGGTTCAACTGTCAAAACATACAAAACAGAGATAGAAAGCATCTTCATATACAAATGCATCTGTATTGATATAACCAGTCAGAAAACCTCAGTATTGATATACATGTAGGTCATTCTTAGTATAAAGTAAAAATTTTTTTCAACTAGAATAAGCATCTACTCTAAAATTCTATTCCTAAACCAAGACAACCATTGATCTTACTGAATGAATAGTAAGCAGACTCTTTAGGAATGCAAGGAAGGTAACTATGGTTATTAAATACTGCCAAATTACTGTCTGGCTTTTATATGACTGCAGATTATAAACTATGGATTTCATTTACCTGGGGCAGGCTTTTAATGAATTTACTACAGGGAAAGTAAATTACTGTAGACATGCACCAGTCCAACAAACTGTATTTTTGTATTATGATTATCTGTAACAAGTATAGGCATGCCTACATCTTCCTTCAGAGGCACTTCCTGCTTCTCAAAGATATGCACCACAGCTTAGCAGTACTTTCTTCTTAATTATAGCATTAGTTCCACATACATCAGCACAGATTGAGTGTTAGATGCATCAGCATGTGTGGTGGTAACCTTCAGAGAAAACAGAAGCATCTATCTGCAGGGTATTTGTTTCACCTCTTCAGAAAAGAGCAAACAAAAAGAATCATTCTGCTAACATTTCAATAACCAAGACCAAGGCCCTAAGGCAGGGCTGACTGGGAGCTGGCGGTGAGAAATACAACCTCTTGCAACATGAATGCACCTTGAGAGACCAATCTCTCTTTCTGCCATGGAGCCACTGCTGGGAACTCACCCCTGGATACGCACAGGTGGCTATCACCACTGATGATCTTCAAGCACTTTTCAAGGGAGATTTTCAAAGGCAGCAACAGGCTTTGAGTCTGTCCTTTAGGCCTCAAAAATCTTTCTGTTTGCTGTAACATTGTGTGAGAGTAGGTGCTTTCTTAAAGCTAAGTCATCTCTTCTGAAAAGAGAGCAGCTAGCAGTTAGCTAGAGCATATCCCATGGATGGTTTCCTCTAATACAGCACCACAAAGCCAGCAAGGCTGGATGTGCTTGTGGTGCAAGCTGGGGACTAGGACTGGAGAGACCCAAGTTGTTCAGCCCTCTCCATGGACTCAGATGCACCACAGTGCCCACTCTTGAGCCCTGACAGTGGGCTCCCAAGTGTTTCCGAAGCTGCAAGTCATCTGTGCAAACATGGGTTTTTCCTAGGCTACTTTGCTGCCAGGCAATACTGTACACAGTGAGAAAGAGAATGGTTTATTCAACGTATGGTTTTCTTTAGATTCTGTCTTCTGGCAACAGGTATGTAGCAATGTTCAAAGCTACAAAAGCCCAATACTTTTCCAAATGCAAAAACCTTAGGAGTTTATACTAATTAAACTATAAGAGCAACTAGTGTTACTTCCTGTCAAAGACCTCCACAGGCAGTGAGCTAAGGCTACATTTTTTTTGTCAATACAACTAATTTCCAGCATACAGGAATTAAGATGAAGGCTAGATTCTGAATTCATCCAATAATCTATCCAAATTATGCCAAGATTGTTACAAAATGATCTGCTGTGTTTCATTCTGGAGGGCATATGGAATAGTTATTTAAGTATGCAGATACTGACTGCAGATTTCATGGGGTTTTTTTTAAGCCAATGATAATCACAGAGAAGTGATCAACTTTAATGTTCCCAAATGATTAAGGCAACCACCTCTAACTGAACTGGAAAAGAATTAAAGCATAAGTTTGTTTTGTTTTTTTAAAGTCATACTTGTGTGAGTAACCTGCATAAACTAAAGATCAAAAATAAACTGCCTTTTCTAGGGTGTCTGTAGTTAAAAATCTATAGAGCTGGTGATCCATGCTTAAATCTTTAAACACATGATTTCCAGTTAGTTTAGCAGCAACAGGACTGATAATTTATATTTTTTTTTTTCCATGCTACTCCAGTCTCTCTAGATCTATAGAAGTCTGTTGCCAAAGCCATGTTTAAAACTCAGCCCCTAGACAGCGCTCACACATCTTTGAGATGTAATTAAAGCAGGATTTGGGCTGCCCAGGTTTAAAACCCGTTGAGATACAAAGTGAGATTTTAAAATTGATGACTGAGCTCTTTCTGCACTGTTACCCTTAAATGGTGACGTTATTAAAATATGGTAATGCAATGGCAGTTTACAGTGAACTCTATTCTACGTTTTCACAAATTATTTTGCTGTGTGAGAGCTGTAGTTGCTGACGTGCAGTGAAACACACTTTGTGCAGGCAGCCAGCACAGGAATCTGTGTTACTTCTCTCCAATGGGATGTATTTTTGCCCTAGTAAAGGTGTTTTGCAAGAGCACGCAAGTCTGCTGAAAGTCAATTCTACTATGCATCAGG